TTCGAACAGAAATACGATCACGAGCGAAAACTCGATTTTTGCAGCTACTGTCTATATGTTTAAATTTGTTATAATTAAAAATATGATAACGAGCGAAAAACGAATATATTCATCGCATGTTAAAAGAACGCAAAGACAAAGCGACGTTACACGAACATGCTCTGTTCCAAATAGTCTCTGACATTTTCGTTTTTCTGCTGATATTCTCTCCTTAATCCTTTCGCGGTTTAGAACGCGATGTTTTATCGTAATTTTGCATCAAAATTGGTGAGATATCCGACGGTTTTGAGGTATTTCACGAGAAAAACAATACGCTTCGAAACAATACGAGCGCGAGTAACTTCGTTGCCATTGTATAATTCAAAAATAAATATTTATGAACGGTATCGATATAAAAATAAGTGACATATTTTTCACGTTTGAGTAATTTATATTTTTTAATATTTGAGAATAATAATACAATATTGCAATATTGATTAAAACAACACAGGATTGTTTGATTGAGAGTATACGTTTGTAAACAACAGTATCACACGCATCACTTGTATACACGGATATCGTATATGCATTCGATTGACCAGTTTCATATTTCCCAGCGATTACTCAACTCGTGGAAAATGTCAAGGGATTCTCGTCGCGGTGTATCTCTATGGTATGCATGAGGACATTTTCGTATTCTGGTTGGCTATCGGCCAAAAACGTCGACGGAAGCCTTAGTCCGCAGACGTGTTTCTATGCGCCAAGGAAACATAATTAAACTAACAATGTCGCGAGAGAACCGCTCCTCATCCCAGCCCCTTTCTCATACAATGCAAATTTCGTTTAATGATGACGGAAATTTTGATTTGCGCTCTCATCCGAGAGAAGATTTCCACTCAGAAGCTAAGCAAATTATGAATGCAGTCAGGAAAAAAATAGAGCCAGACTGATGCGCACAGGGTGTCCCAGAAAAGACAAGAAAAACGTGCAAATTGTGTGCGAGTTTTCATTAGAAGAAATTTAATGCCAGGTCTGATTAACACTTTGACTGCTATATGTGTATTTAATTGGATACACATCTATGAGTTCAAGATGCCGTTACATTAATTTTGATATTAATTTAACATACATTTCCTACCTGCTATATATAAATCAAGAACACTTTACATTAATTTTATATGATGCTTTGTAAATTTTGGGAAAATTTGTCAACTTTGTCGAAGACTTTTATTAAAAACATTTTTATTGAAAAATATATTTTAATATAAAAATTTACTTAAAATTATATCGTACAAAAAAATAATAGTATGGCGCGCCAGAAGACGGATTATAAAAATTCGTATGGCAGTCAAAGGATTAGAAATGATTGATGCTAGATATGAGACGACTCGACTTTGGCACTGCAATATTTGATGTACCTAATCAAAGATATTAATTTGGAAATTATGAAATTCATTACTTTGTGTAAATGTGGAAAGAAATATTTCATTTTATCTTCTTTCAAAATTGAGATAGTATGAGATTATTTTGTTTTTTAGATATGAGATAAATTCGACTTTGACATTGCAATATTTGGATTAATCAAAAATATGTAATCTCGAAAATTATAATATTAATTATTTTAAAAACGTAAAATAAATATTTTATTTTATCTTTTTTCAAAATTCGCTTAGTTAGGTATTAAAAAAATTCGCTAACGGGAATACTTAACTGCTCGTTTTGTTAGGTTTTTCACATTAAAATATATCTCTTACCACAAATTTAAAAAATTACGAATATGTTCTACAAAGTGGTCAAAAAAGGATTAAGTCGCCGCGGGTCAAACTCAATAATCCCTTTAAGAGGGCAATTTTTACAACGACTGCCATCTGTATCAGGGTTCTACACAACGAAGCAAAAAATCCAGCAGGCTGTGTATCGAACGTCGAGTAAACGATAGCTCTGTTCTCCGCCGGTATTCTCTAGCTACCGCGTTTAAGGGTGGTTCTCCACTTGGTTCTTTCCACCCTCCGCTAGATGGCGAAAGGCGAGTTCCGATCGATAAAGGTTACTTTGCAGACTTGTATCTTCAGTGGCAAGTAATTAATTCATCGTTAACTACATATCAAAAGATCTAAGCACAAAAATCTTGAATCTATTTTTAAATTTTAGGTCAACAACCCAATCTCTTCCAATTTGTAAAATACTTAATCCTTAGATCTTTTAATTCTCACTTCTTTTTAATATTTATGTATTTGTGAGATTGACTTTTACACGCTTCCCGAATATCGTGTTATTAATATAAAAACCCAGAAAATTCTTTTAGATATTTTAATTCAAATATTTAAATTGTTGAAATAACACATAAATTAACGAATTATTATGTTTACAAGTTTTCAAATAAAAGAATTCAAAGATCCATGAATTAATGATTTTGCGTATTTCTCGATCTTAGGATGAAGACCGAAATTTGCTACGAAACAATATAACCGCAATTACACGTGGAAACTTATAAAAAGCAACCTAATGAATGAAAACGAAAGAGACATATAAAACCTCAACAAACAACCCTTTATCGCATGCCGTGATAAATCACGAAGCCTTCATAACAGATACAGCGACGAAATCAGAATGGAAACAGCGCCACGAATTTCATTTTATAATGGAAGCAACGTAAATTTACTATCTCGTAAAGTACACACGCTATATTTCGATCCCATACAACCTGCTTTGACATTGTATATCCTTCCTTGGCGCGTCGCGCTTTTACGATTCCGCCGGGCCTACGCCGTTAAAACCCCAACGACGGAGGAAAGGTGAACGAGAGTGGGACGCGCTGGAGAACGAAGAGGAAAAGAGATCTGTCTCCCTGAGGAGACCGGGATGAATTCGAATGAACGATAAAAGAGAAGCGAAATGTTACAAGACACATTTGACACATAAATGACACCCACGAACATAGCCATGACGTTCGAATAGGAATGTAACGAGTGTGGAAACACCAATAAAGGAATTGAATAACTTGACACACATTGGTAAAACAATGACACACTAGAGGAGACGAGAACATACACACGCAGAGGAAATGCATGCGTGGAGAGAACCACGAAGAGCGACGGAGGACAAGCTGCAGGAGCAAGAAAGGAAGAAAAAGAGAAATCTAGATTGTTAACATATAGTAATAATTGTTTTTGTACAAATTGTAGTGATTACAATCATTTTATCGAATCATTACTCGATGGCTGAATTAAGAAATCTTTGAAGTTTCTCTTTAGTCGTCTTTAAATTATTTTTTTCTATGCGCCAACGTAAAAGACAGCCAAAAGAAATTCAAAAGAAATTTAAAATCTAGGAAGAAAAAGATGGTACTAAAAAAATTCCAAAAGAACTAGAAAACCGGAAGAAAACGTTTCCATTGAATGTTATTTTTAGTTTACGTTTGGAAAGACGATTAGATAACAATGAGATACTCTTTCGCGGTTTGCTCCGGCTCTTACTCAACAAAACCGTTGACCAATTAAATACAACCATTTCTCTTTCTCCTTCTTCCAAGAACTAACCAATTCAAAGGAAGTGAAAACAAATGATGGACACACGAGAGAAAGAGAAACAGAGAGAGAGAGAGAGAGAGAGAGAGAAAGAAAAGAGACGGACAAATGGAGACATGTATGGGTAGATTCGGCTGTGCTGTGCTGAGCACAGGTGACGCCGTCTGCGATGCAAGAATACCAAACTATAACACCCCGCGCATGTAACGGTGACATGATATTAAATTAGCCATCTGTTCCGAATTTAAATTTCGAGGAATCTTATGTTACACTCAGGGAAAAACATAGTGGTAGCAACTGCATAGGGTTGTCCCATTTCCAAAATTCGCACTTCAGGGCGCTGGCAGGACCAATACTCACAGGTGGCTATTTAAACGTAATCTACAATTGATCATATTTAAATTCTTGTATCTCAAAAATTATTGCTTAAAATAAAAGTTTACAAACAACTTTTTACTTAATTTTTCGAAAAAAAAAAACTTTCTTGTCATAGTATTTTGAGTTACGAACTCTGTATTAACTATACAAGTTATAACTATAGAAGTAATAACTATACAATTTTATATGTAAAATTGACGTGTGTAGCTGAATATATTATTTTATAGTTGCAATAATTATAAAATAGTTTATTTAACTATATACATTCATACATTGATTGTGTAGTTACCACTATTATAATTATTGCAACTATAAAATAGTTTGTTCAACTATATATGTATATTAATTCTACATATAAAACTCGTACAGTCGTTATTTATATAGTTGCTGACTTATTATATCTCTTTCTCTCTTTTTCTTTAAATATGCATTCTATTCCTATATTTATTCTGCATGTTTTGTTTTACCTTAATAATTCGCATAATTATGTATTTATTCCATTATTATGTTATTTTATTATTTATCACAAAATGCTTGTTAAAGATATAATATATACCTATCGTGAAACAAAATCCCTGTTTGGATCATTGTTATTAATGAAGTAATTAACTCTTAATTAATTAATTAAGTTAATTTTAGTTAATTTTCCTATATTTTCAAAACATAAATTTTATCGATCTCAACCTGATATCAGATGTTTATTGAAGATGTACTATAAATATATATTCTGTATGTTGATTAATACATATTTAATTTAATGAATAATCAACTTTTAATCTAAATCTTTGTTCGAATTGATCTTTTCTTCTAAAAAAGTAATCAAGAATTATAATAATTCTTCCTTCTTTAATTTCACAAAATTTATAACTTAATGCGATTTGGACTTAATCGACTTATTCAAAAAGATTTATTACTTATCAGAAAGTAGTTTCGAGAATGTAGTACTCTAATTCACTTCTCTTTTTGCTTTTCAAGAAAAGGTAATCGCGCCGCGCCTCTTCCTAGATCAAATTCTAATAGGCGTGTCGTCGTTGCGGTATTCTTGCACCAAGCAGCTGGTTATGTGCATTTATACTGTTTATAGGCTCGCGAGAAACGGTGGAGGTCGCGGCTTACCTGCCGGAACTGTCGTATGCCGCCATTGATCCGCAGCGAGTCCGCGGCGATGCCTGCGATTCCATCGCCGGGCTCGCGGAGCTGCCGCAGAGAGGCGGCGCTCGGCGCCGCGCCGGTGTGCAGCGGGCAGCAACAGCCGGAGCAACAACACGCGGACGCTTCCGGCTGCGAGCTCTGCCGTATTATGCGGGCGTTGGGCGACGTAGTGACCAACACCGGCGGCGGCGGCGCCTGACACGGGCAGCAGTGGTGGCCACTCTTCACGCTCTCTCTTTGGAAACAACAAAAAATATTACACGTAGTAAACTTAGGTTAAGAAGTAAGAGTAGGTGTAAAGGCTCACCGTCTACAATACACGTAGTAAGCTTGGTTTAAAGAAGTAGAGTAAGAAATAAAATTAATTTATTTCATTTACGCTTATAGGCCCGTCTACAATACAAGTAAGCTTGGTTTAAGAAGTAAGAGTAGATGTAGGCGTAAGTGAAATAAATTAATTTTATTTCTTACCCTTACTTCTTAAACCAAGCTTACTACTGTATTGTAGACGAACCTTAAGACTCGATTTTTCCTTTTTTTTTTTGCGAAATCCGAAGTGATACTTTAACTTAGTTGGGAATTTTACCTGACCCGTTTATAGAGACGCTTAACTCTTTGAGGATCAGCGATCGATAATCCGATTTAGCCCCGTTTTCAGAAGAAATAACCTTGTTGGTAATCGATTAAATGCTACACTGAGAAAAAGACGTTTGAAAATTTATTTGTGGGATATAATGTTTATTTCATTTAAATAAATCCTTATTTAAAAGCGGCGAAATAAAATTTTATTCCTATCCCAAATAAACCATTTCTGTTTTTTACATTTAATTTAATTAATGAGGAAAATAAGATATATTTCACAATAATGTGTATTTCATTATTACAGTCAAATGTTTTTATAATTAATGAATATCAAAGAAAATATCATAAATAACATTTACTTTGAATATTTTGACTCTTTTTGTCAGTGCAGTGTATTAATTGTATTTTAATACTTCTAAAGAAAAAAATAATGTTTTTATACATATCTGAGAAAGAGAGAGAAAGTAACTTATATCACGAATATTTTTATCCATCCCCCTCAAAGAGTTAAAAACTGACCGCTTAGTTTTTACTGTTGGTAACTCCATTAATTTCCGGTTACTTGATTTTATCGTCGTCTGCCACAAAAAATGAAATTAACTTCCGTAACTAGCTTTAATATCGCATTTCTCTCATTTTCTGAAAACGTTTTCTCAATTTTTATTTTCGAACCATATATTAACATTGAGTGTAATATTTAACAACTTTAGCTTAACGTAATTATATAAAGTTGACATCGTGAAAGAATATTAAATAGGGAGAGAAAGGCAAGATAGAAACTTGATTCTAAAATACGATACCACTGCGCGCAGTGATGGCTGCTCTCGTGTCGTTTATGGTATCTGAAATTCTACGGTTGGTATAGTTTCACGGCTGGTATGGACTATAAAGTTAAACTGATAGTTTCAAATACGTGATCCGATATTGCACATGGCCCACTCGTCCGTGGACTAATCTCACTGAAAACTGTTTCACCGCTAAATTGGTAGTGTGCGATTGGTGTCTCAAAGGTCTCTTTCAGCTTCAGACGTGGGAAATAATAATTATTTCAACCCCAAGGTATCGGACCATTTCTAAATTGTAAGTAAAATTACGAATTAATATATGAGAACTTACTCGAATGAGAACTATAAATTAATTCTCCGAATTCCAGCAAATAGCTAATAAAATTTTATTTAACTATAACTATACTTTATTTTAACAAAAGTTGCATTTTCAATGAATTATTTAACCTTTTAATATCATATAGCTTGAGTTCTTTCTTTTTTATAGGAATATCAGTTCAAAGATGTTTAGAGCAAGCATGAAGATTATGGAATGCGGTATTTCTAGGGTATTCCAAATATATATAGTGTAAACATAAAATTGTTGATGAAATTATTGCGCGAGATTCCAGCGAACCTTGTTGGTTAGACGTTAATTTGATTATGTCGGTAGAATATATTCGGAATAGCTTTCTATCTAGAGACGCTTTAAGTCAAGAGCTCTCGGCTTATAAGACAGGTGGTAAGCCTGTCATCTGGAGATATCATTAACTGCACACTTCGACCTTCGGTGAAAACTAAAGTTCGAAAATTGAAGTTTCCTGGCTTCTGAATGGCTTCTTAAGATAAGCATGAATCTTTTATTCAAGGCTCCCAAGATACTTATTTTACGTTACACAAAAGATATATTTACAAAAATATAACTTTCTTGATAAACAAATAAGATATCGTTCAATATCAATATTGTATACCAGCTGTAATACGACGCTCGACCTTGTAATCTTACTTGAAAAATTATATGTATTTTGTGATACAAAATCATTCAGAAAACAAATCTTTAATTCTCTTTTACATTAAACTTTTTGCAGTATAAAACTTAAATGAGTGTCTTGACACAAAAATAAACTTGGAGTTAATCTAAGTTTTACTATTCTTGTATCTAAAGTCTGTTTTGTCGAATTTTATTGTAGTCTTTTCATCCTCATGTAAGAATATAACTGTTGACATCTCAATTTATATTTTGGTAACTCTAGTGTCTTGTATACCATCCTTTGACATTACAATACATTAGTTATATTTTCAATTTAACGTCATTCTGTGTCTGGTAGAAATTGAAATGAGAATACGCTTAATACATAATATAATAAATTTAACCAGTTATAATAGCCACGAATACGATGGCTGGAAAACTCAACGCAAAATGAAAAGATTTGAGAAAGATCAACAGCGTCGATTTTCATGTCGGAAAATCCTGGCAATGCCATTTTTTATATGCCGTTTCTGCACCCGTAGCAATCCCCAGTGTACGTTTCCCAGACTCCGAAGAGGTTACAGGACGACATAAAATTTCACCAGCTCAACTTTTGACCCGATGAACGTGATCATCCTAGAAATTCGCGATGGCGTTGAGCGCCAGGAAATCTCCGGATCGGCAAAAGAGAGAAAGCCTCTTTTGCCTCGACGACCCTTGTTCAAGAAAACAAAGGCATTACATTTTTCCGAGAGCGACGCATTTTTGGGAGAATGGCGATTCCCGGTGAATTGCCGGCGCACTTAAATAAAAGTGGCCGACTCCAGCCATTCCCGACGCGAATAGATTGTCTTCTCCTGGCCGAGATAAAAATCTATGTTCCCATAAATACAATGTTCCTTGATTTAGAAACGACTGTCCCAGCTAATCATTCCGTAAAACAAATTAAAGAAAGATATAAAAAAAATCTTTTTTTGAAGCAAAGAGCAATACTGGGTTGTTAAAAAAAATTCTGAATCATTCTCCAAAAATGATTATTATGCACAGAAAAAGGGATTTTGCTAAAATATTAAAAAATGCAGGTAAATATAGATCTGGAAATAATTTTGTTTAAAATAATTACGTAAAAACTCAAGCATGATGAGCAATACTGCAAAAAGTTTTGTTACTCTAACAATCAACTTAAGCGTATATAATTATGTAAGCGTCTTACATAATTATTTTCATAATCTAATAAAATTATTTCCAGATTTATACACACGGAAAATAAAATTTTTAACACTACAGCTATCATGATTTAATAAAAGTGTATTTATTGCCATAGTAAAATAATTTCCTACTGTTAATTGTTGCTATACCATTTTCTTAGTAGGAGAGAGTTGCTGAATGCATACTGGTCTCCTAAATTGTATCTCATCAATATTTTAAATTAATACTCTTGAGGCGACGTTGTTAACTGCAACCAGATTTTCAATCTATTGAAAAACGAGCACCTTTCAATGGTGCTCGTTGTGCACGTTTAAGCTAAGGAAATATACAAGGCACGTTTCGTTGATGGGGAAAAAGTTTTGCCTTCTTTTACTAATTCTTTAACTTCTTCTTTTTGAATTTTTTTATCTCTCCAGAGAATATATCATAGTTCATTGTTAAAATTATTCAAATTATAATAATCAGAAAAAAACTGTATGCTTTTTTCAAATTTTCTAATGTCACATTCAAGATATTAAAAGAGTATAGTGTAGTTAATAATGAAAAAGCCGGGAAGTTCTCGTCGGAAAATCGCTGCTTCAGTGAAGCTATTAAAGAATCTAAGTAAGAAATTATCGATGATCTTTTTTTAGCTCCTTACTGGATCTAAATGTATAAGCCAATCATATTAAAGAATTTTACAACAGTTGCAAAGCTATTTTTTCTGCTGAATGCAGCCAATGATTTTCACAATTTAATAATTTCTTCTTATTGAAATTTAAAGGGGGCAAACGCTTCCCTATTTCTTTTACGCATGCCTATGTTACATCGTATGTATATTATTGCGTCATTATTGAAAGAAAAGCTTGCTTATGAAAATCATCGTCAAGGTTTGTAAAGTCAAAGATAATTGGACATGATAGTCTTTATTTTGAGAAATAATTGTCATTATTTCTGAATAAAGAACTAATCACAAGAAAAAGTGATTTCATTATAAAATTGGCTGAAATTGTGATATTTTTTAGTTTATAAGATAATGATCAAAAATCTCCATAAGGCACAATAAAAAATAAACAGATTTTGATGTAGAACCATTTGAAAGTCACTATTTTGAGTTTAATTACTCACTACTAAAGAGTATCTTTATCTGCACATAGTTTGTTTTTTTATTGTGTAAGTATTTATACAGTTAAATATTTATATAATCATACGCATGTCTATCGAAATTCATGTCTCAATGTATGCGAAAGTAATGTGAATGTATGTCGATATGTATGTATCGATAGCTGTTCCATTAGTATGACATTACTATGTATGGACACATGTATCATTATATGCTTAGACAATTAAAAAAGAATTAAATTATAGATAAAATTATTTTTCGGTCCGATTAGACCCAAAACAGCAACATTCAATTAGCTACAACAAAATCTATTCGTTTTTTTATGATTGTGGCTATGAAGACTTTCGATCAGCATCTTATATCGTTATAAAATACAGTTTCAACCAATTTGACTGAAACTACTTTTTCCATATGATTGCGGGGGGTACAAGTTCGGGAGAGGGAGTGATCTTTTGCATATAAAACTGTTTTTTTTTTTTTTAAGGTTGATTCAGAACACTTTTCACAACTCAGAATTGTCATGTAATTTCGATTTGTCATAAATTTCGTGACATTTGAATAATATTCGCGATTGGCTGTGCAATGAATATCGGAAATCGTCTATGCATACACTACACCTGGGCCATCACCGTCCCAGTGGTATATCGGGAGTAGCGTATCGGTGCCCAATGAATAAATAATACGAAGACGGCATAACGAAATCATAAGCAATGTCGAGAACGAGAAAAACGAATTCTAGATTCGTGCACGCGTTTCCCTATCGAGAACCGTCCGAAACTATCTGCCCCGATTCCGTTACATACAAACGCAAGTTTACAATGGCGCGGTCGACTAATGCTCGCGGAGTAGTTAAACTTTGCCAATTACACGAATAGTCTAAACTTTCTGTGTGAATGCGTGTTAAAGCCACACGGCTGTCGTTTTTTTCTTTCGACACATGCTAAATTCTCATAGATTGCTTGTCATGCAATGCAAATGTAAGTAATACTGCATAAAGAAACGGTACATTTTTAGCACACGCTGCGGTGCACGTATGAACAAGCTGCGGTCGTCATTCAAACGAGTAACGTTCAATCTCTTTTCATTTCGCTCTGCAAACTGTCGTTTAGTGGTGATATCAAATTTAGCGGTTTCTTGAAAAGTATAAATGTGGCTGCTCGCAGTAACAGTATCAGAATTCTTTCTTTCGCTTTTATATTCGTTACTTCAAATCTAATATTTACTTATTTTAACCACGTTGATATGTAAAACTACGCTCGTGCTTTTATGTTTTCGGTTGAATAAATGGCTGTACTTTTTCCAGGTACGCGTATTAACAAACATGTGAAACCGCGCGATACGGCGGTTGTCTCGTGAAAAATAAATGCCACTACCATATTGATGATCAAGCACACGAAACGACTATTTCTATGTGCCTATATCATCTCTATTAAGTAGAAAAGTGAAGTCGTATCGAATGTTCCTTTATGCGGTCAAGGCCATTGTATGTTTAGCTCACGTAATGAGAGAAAACTAAACTGTGACCCACGGAATACGATATTATATGATGGAGAAAGAAAAAAATCAAATATTTGAACACTCGACGCTATAGTCGCTATACTCGCTTTTTCTAAATGTTTATTTCTCTCTTTTTATAGCTTAAAGTAGCAGTAATTTAAATTACTGCTATTTTATACTATAAAGAAGGAAAAGTAAATACACACGGAGAGAATTCCTCTTTTCTCTTAATGCTTGAATTTTTTCTTAGTGTTTATCCTGAAAATATGATAGTCGTGGGACAATATTCATAAATCGAAGAATTTTAATGTAAATCTCTCTCATTCATTGATAAAACTACAATAAAGTATAAAATAAATTTGATCAATTTTACTGAAGTGCATGGTAAAAATCTTCAAAATATTGTATTGTACCACAACTACCATATTTTTAGGGTAAATTTTAAAAGAAAATTCTCTCCGTGCAGAAAGAGAAAAAGTGAAAAAACAGCGTTTTTGATCGTTATTCCCTTTTTCTCAAAAAATTTACCTAGAGACGCTGCGGGCCAAATGAAGGGCCGAGGTGGGCGCAAGGGAATCCCTTCGGTCGCACCTGCATCTGTACTGATGCGACTGTCTGGACGACCGGTAGGATGGCTGCGCCTGCAACTGCGATTGCTGCACCTGCGGCTG